TTTTTTTTAATTTAAAATTTATTTTTCTTTCTCTTTGTTTTTTTTTCTTTTTTTTTTTTTTTGTCTCTTTTTCTGCATATATATAAATATTTTATAGAAAATTTAAAAGATGAAGAAAATACTGCTTTAGTTAATTATATTAAGAATAATGCAAATCAAAGAGCATCAATAAAAAAAGAAGTAGAAGGTATTTCAGTTATTTTATTATTTTATTTATCTTAATTTTATATTATATTTTTATATGCCTATTTTTTATATCCCTTTTTTATTAGGTTATGTAAGTGAATTTAATAAAAACGTTGAAGAAATTTTAGAAATAAAAAAGAAAATAGAAGAAATTGAAATTAATAAAATAAATGAGGATTATATAAATAACCAGATTTCTTACACTAGTATATCAAATAATTTAAATTTTTCAATAGATGGGAATAATTATTCTAAATCGAAGGAATTATTTCATATATTAGAATCAAAAAATAATGAAAAAATAGAAGGTTCAAATTATTATAATAATTCAATTATATACTTTAGATTTGTTTATTTAACATCTTTTTTATATTCCAATAATGTAGAAACAATTTCAAAGGTAAAATTAATTTTAAATTCTTATAATTTTTTTTTTTTTTTTTTACTATTTTGTTTTTTTAATTATATTAAATTTATAAGGTTTTTAATATATAAAATATTTTTCTTTTTTTTTTTGCTATTTTGTTTTTTTAATTATATTAAATTTATAAGGTGATTAATATATAAAATATTTTTTTTTTTTTTTTTTTTTTTTTTATTTTAGGTGTGTAAACTAATTGTTGATAATATTGTTCAAGTAGGAAAAAAAAGTAAAAATGGGAATTTTATATTAACGGAAAATGGGAATTATATTTTTAAAAATTTTAACTTATTTATTATTCTTATTAAAGGAGCTAATTATGCATTAAGATATTTATTTCAAAAAAGTTTTGGAAAGGATTTAAAATCTTCATTTATTCATTTTAATGCAATTTTAAGTGCTGTTTTATTAGTAGATATTTTAATGAAAAAAAAAAGTTGTATAGCTAAACTTTCATTCGAACATTTTTCTTTTTTTTTTATTAATACTATTGTTTGTCTAAGTATATACACAAAAGTAATACATACAAATAAATATATTTATCTTTTTAAAAATGGAGATATTGCTAGAAGTTTAGTAACTAGTATACTAAATAATTTGTTAGGTAGAGAATTTTTAACTAACCATTCGAAATTGTTAGAATATGTGTGTAATGTTTCATTTAATTTGGGTTTTGATATAATGAAAAATAATAAAATATTACTAGATGATTTAAGTGATACTAGTGATTTTTATATTTATATTAATACATATATAAAAATTTTAAATAAAATATATAAAAAAATTATTAATAAGATATATGAAGAAAATACTAAAGAAAATAATTTTGTATATAGGATTTTACATATATTATTTCTAAATTTAAGTAAATATGATATATATCTATGTAAAATAGAAAAAGAAAAAAGAAGAAAAAGGAAAATTGAGAATGAAAATAACGAGAAATACAAAGAAATAGATAATAATGAATTATACAATAAAAAAATATGCAACGGAAAAAATAATGACGAAAATGATATTAACTGTTATAATTCTGATTATTCTATTTATGGGTCACATATAACATATTATGAAAATTTGAATGTAGAAGAAAAAGTTGATATTTCAATGAAAATTGATTATGAGGAAAATAAAAAAGAAATAAATAATAAAAAGGAAAAACAAATATATACCGAAGAAGAAATTGAAAAAATAAATAAAAATAAAATGGATTTTATGAATAAGTATTTATTTTTTATTCAATTAATTTTTTACGGTATTAGAAAAAATAATCCCTTAATCCTATTAGCATATATATATCATGAAATTATTAAAAATTATAATCATAATTTGCTTTATTATTATAAAAAAATTGAGCTCTTATTAAATAAAGATTTAAGAAACTGCATTGGCAATGTTAATGTAAATTTTTCTCCTGATTTTTATTCATTAAATTTTTCTTTTGAAGAATTTCTAAATGAACATAATGATCTTAAAGAAAAGGAAAATTCTATTTTTAACTCATATAAAAATGTATTTAGTTTATATGCAAATTTTGATTCTGAAATTATATATAATAATTTTGACTTATCTGTTGATGATATAATAAAAAAAAAAAGAGATTTTTTAGAATCTTTAAAAATGATTAATATCAATGAAATTTCTTTTAATAATAACCAATTTGAACATCTAAAAGAAACAATTATAGAGTATGTAAATGAATTAGAAAATGTCGATTTACTCAATGACATTAAAAATAATGATTTTATTTCTGATTACAACTTTCTTTGTATGATGTATAGAATTCCTAAGAATATTGAAAATAATAATACATCTAATAATAAAGAAGAAAGCACAAATAATAATAATAATAATAATAATGAAAAAAAATTAATAAATGAAAATAAAGAAGTTGTAATAAATAGTGAAAAAAATAAGAATAATGAACATTTATTGAAAAACAGTATTACTGAACGAATAAAAGATGATGGTGATAATAATATACATGATAAAAACAGCAGAGAAGAAATGCATATATTAGATAAAGAAAAAAATAAAATTAATTTTTCAAACAAAAATGCAAATACAGAAGAAGATAAGATAGAAAACAAAAAATCTAATGAATTAACTTTTATTAGTCATAACATATTTCTAAGAAATCAGACCATTGAAAACGTAAATATGAATGAATTATATACGAAATATAATCCTATTAATAATTTTTCATCTTATATAATAACACAAAATGAGAATAAAAAAGAATTAAAAGGAAATGATAATAATAATAATAATAATAATAATAATAATAATAATAATAATAATAATAATAATAATAAAATCAATTCAGATTGTAATTCAAAAAATATAATAACAAATGATATCATTCATGAGAATTCACAAGAATATAACCAGTGTATATATGATAAAAAGGATTGTTTAAACATATTCCATAATAAATTTAATAAAAATAATGAAATAAATGAAAATAAGTATATCTATAATTATAATGACCAAGTAACATATAAAGAGGAAAGAAACATATGTAATATTGATTATAATCAAAATAAAAATTATGATTACAACAAAATGGATAATAATGAAAATGAAAGATGTAACAATTATCATTACAAAAGTACTATAAATAATGAAATGAGAAATGAAAATTACAATAATAGAATGAATTCTGAATATGAGAATGAAACTTATGAAGATAATAAAAATAAAAATAACAATGATTGGCAACATTGTTATAAAGAAAGAAACACACAAGAAGAAGTAAAAGAAATAGAAAGTGAATGTAAATTAAATTATGATAATAACATAAAAAATAGAGAACTGTTTTATAATATAAAAAATGAAAAAAAAAGTAATGACGAAATAAGCGAAAATAAATTAATTTTTTTAAAAAAAAACATACCATCTTATAAAGAAGAAAATCAAACAAATTGCTTATTGAAAGAAAAATCAAATGAAAAGTGCAAAATAGATGATGATAACAATGTTAATATACTTAGAAGTACTAACAAATCATTTTTAAGAAGTAAAACAGATGTAAGGGCATTAGTAAAAAAATATGAAAATCAAAAAGATGCAGTTGATGGAAATTCAAAGGATCCTCATGTATTAATGCAAAAAAAAAAATTAGAAAATATGTACAATAATAATTTAAATAAAACTAAAATTAATAAAATGTTTTATAAAGTACCTTCTAATTTAGAAAAAAAAAAAAATTATGTATATGAAAGAAGTATAAGTTCAACTTTTGAATCCAAAACAAAAACAGACAAAAATAATTTAACAAAAACTTCTCCTGATCAAAAATTAAAAGATTCAACGACAAAAATAAATTTTTTAAATAATTATATTCATACGAAGAATGAAAATAACAAATCTAGTATTGCAACAAATAGTAATAGTTCAAGTAGTATTCATAATAAAAAAAATGATTCAAAAAGCAATACACCATCAAATTACTCTACAAAAAGAAAAAATTTTATTGGTATTTCATTTCCATTAAAAAAAAGTATATAATTTTTTTTTTTTTTTTTTTTTCTTTTTTTTTTTTATTATCATTATTATAATCCTTTTATATATACATATGTAAATTCATATATATTTTTTTATTTTTTTTTTAGAACATATAAATAAATAATATATAATTAAAAGAATACGTAGTTTTATGATAGTGAAAAAGGAACAAAAGAAATATGAAAAAAAAGATTCAGAAATAAAAAAAAAAAAAAAAAAAAAAAAAAAAAAAAAAAATAAAAAAAAAAAAAAAAAAAAAAAAAAAAAAAAAGATGAAAAATGTGTAAAAAAAAAAATAAATATAATAGAATAAAATAAGCAAAAATAATACATTTTAAGGGATGAATAAAATAATAAGTAATTAAAGTATCATATATATAATAACAAAGAATACTAAAAATTTTTTTTGTTAACATAATTTTTTGAAAAGAAAAAGAAGTAAAAAGAAAAAAATTCTAAAAAGTAAAATTAATTTTTTTTTTTTTTTTTTTTTTTTTTTTTTAGATCCTAAATGTTTTAATTTAAAATGAACATTTTTTTTTAAGTTTTAATGTATGTCATAAAGTGTTTTATTGTTTCTTTATTTTTTAAAAAATTATAAAAATTTGATTTTTTTTTTTTTTTTAAATATAATGTTAATTTTTGTTTATGTAAAAAAAAAAGTTTTTTTTTAAAATATATTAAAAGTAGACTTTAAAGAATTATTGTTCTAATTTGTATTAAGGATGTATTGTATTTTTTTTTTTTTAACATTTTTAATATCAAAGCTAAAAAAGATAAACATCATAATACCAAATAAAAAGTTATTGAAATCTACATGTAATAAATAAAAAATAAGAAATAATACATTTAAAATTTATAATAATAATCTTTAAAAGGTAATAAAGTTTGTTTAGATAAAACATCTTTTAACCAAGAATCATTTAATAAAGGTGTGTTTAAATTAAATGATGGAAAAGTTATTTTTGACTTAAAAATTTGAATTGAAATATAATTATTTCTTTGATTTATATATACATTATCTGTATTAATAAAGGTAAAATAAGTCAAATGTCCATTTTCTATTAAAAATATAATATTCATAAATATATTATTTTCCATACATTTCAAATCATTAAATTCTAAATTATGTAAATCTAGAATTTCATTTATATCATTTTCTACTATTTTAGCATCAAATTCTTCATTACACAGTTTTATATTTATCCCTTCTTCATTTAATTTCTCAATGATTTCATCTGTGTAATTACTATTTACACTATCCTGAATTATATAGAGATAATAACCCCATAATAATTTGTTCTTCCACTAAAAAAAAAAAAAAGTTAAAATAAAAAAATAAAAGCATCTTAAAATATTAAAATATATATGTCTGTTTAAAAAAAAAAAAAAAAAATAAATAAGTATATAATATAAAAAGTAAATGTAATTATATATTAACCTGTACATTATATGGTAATTGATATGTATTATCAACTTTTTTTATCATATGTTTTATTTCTTTATTTTTTAAAAATATAGAACCATATATATGAACTTCATATATCCAATAAAATGTAAAAACTTTTGTTTTAATGTCAAAACTTATTGTATCATATTTTTGATGTAATGTCTGATTTAAGTTATATAAATTATTTAAGTCAGTTTGCAAATTTTTATTAGATATATTATTATTTAGTACTAAACCTATTATATATATTTGACAATAATCATTTCTTCTTATCTCGATTTCACTTAAAGTAATAACATCATTTATATTATTTCTGTATTTAAATACATACTTAATTTTATTATTTTCAATTAAGTTTTCTTTAGATTTTAAAACATACAATATGAGTTCACGAATTTCCTTTTCTTCTTCATTAAATGTATGAGAATTTTCATTAATAAATACAAATATACATATAATTAAATTATCATAATCTTTTTTTTTTATTACTGCTTCATTTATAATTAGATTGTTTTCTGTAACTTGTAAATTATTTTCATTATTTTGTTCACATTCTATTTTATTTTCATTTGTTTTTACATGATCAGTTTTAATAGCATTTTCATCGTATTCATTATTATTATTTAATTTATTTTTATCATTATTTTGATCATCTTCTTCTTTTGTCTCTTTTTCTTTATTTATTTTTTCTTTTTTTAAATTATTTAACGAAGTGTTATCAATACCTTCTTTTATTTTTGCATTTAATATTTTATTGAAAGAATTTTTAAAAAAATTGTTACAAAGTTTATCCACAGTGTGTACATTCCTTGCTTTTGTCTTTTTTAATTTTTTTTCATTTTTTTTTTTTATTATATGTTGAACTAATAAATTAACATATGAAGGTTTAAATAATGGGATATGTTTGAAATTCTCTATATTTTTTGTAAAATTATTTATATAATTAATATAAATTAAAGAAATATATGAATCAAAAAAAATAGAATTAAATAATATATTCGGAAAAACAAGATTTTTTTCATATAAATCTAATAGAAATAATATTTTATTTTCTTTTAATAAATTTTTTGCATAATTATCATTAAAATCAGTAAGATCCTTCATTAGTTTATGCATTTCTTTATCATCTATTATTTTATAATAATTTTTTATATTGTGTAATTTTTTATGAATATTATTAGAATCATAAATTATGTAATTATAATTACGTAATGCATTATTATTACTAATATTATTTAAGTTTTTTCCTAATGTATGATTTTCATCTGTAAATTCTTCATTATTTTCATCATATAACACTATATCCTTATTATCATAAGACTTGTTATATGTTATTTGTAAAAAGTCATTATTCTCAAAAGAAAAAGGAATATTTTCCATATGCCTATATAGTTTTCCTTGTGTTATTAAATATTTATTTACTGGAATCATATTTTGTAAAAACTTATAAATATATACAAAATTAGTTTTTATATTTTTTTCAAATTTCTTAAAATTTTCATAAAACCTATTTTCTGTTAAGTTTAAAAAATGTAGACATTTGTTTTTTCTTTCATCATAACTTACGGTTATAAAAAAATTTTTAATGACATCATATAAACTCATTAAATGCAAAGCTTTTAGGAGAATAAAAAAATTATATGGTAAAATGTTACCTTGTATTATTATAGTCTTATAATCAAAATTCCTGTTAATATCCTTATGAATATTATCATCAAAATTAATGTAATTCTTATACATTTTTGAAAAAAAAAACAAAAAATTACTTATGATATAATATATTTTTAATTTTTCTCTTTTTTTATTTATATATTTAACTACACATTTATAAAAATTTTTAATATCTTTTTCATATATTTCTATTACATTTATATCATAATTGAAATTATTTGGTAAATTTATTTCTTTCATAAAATCATCCTTTATTTCTTTATATATATAATCATCCGAATTCATATTTTTATTTAATAAATTAAAAATTTTTGTATTTTTTGTAAAATCTTCGTTTTTATTTACATCAATATTTTCATTTTTTATATTTAAATAATTACATATTTCCTCATTTTCATAAAGGATCATATCTAGTCCTTTTATTTCTTTACATATATTTTCTTTCGTCTCTTCATTCCTATTTATTTCATTTTTAATTTTTTTTTTTTCATCATTTTTTCTATGTCTTTTTTTCTTTATATTATTATCGTCCTCTTCCTTATTGCTACAATCACTTTTATCTTTGATAATATTATTATTTTCTTTTATAGAAATATTCAAATTAGTAGAACAATTTTTTTTATTTTCAGAATGTTCATTTTTTTTTCTTTTCTTTTTTTCTTTTTCTTTTTTTTTTTCTTTTTTCTTTACATTTAAATCATTTTCATTTTGTCTCTTTATTTTATCAGATGTTTCTTCTTTTTCGTATTTACCACCTTTTAGATCTACTTGACCGTTTAATATAACTTTATTAACTTCCTCATTTTCACTGTTGTTATTTTCTTCATTTTTTTTTTTAGTCATTAAGTTATTTTTTATAATACTATTCTTACTAGCCAAAGAAATCTCTCCCTTTGTTAACGGAATGAATTCAGAATTTTTCAAGTTATCAAAATGTTGTTTTTTTTTTTTATAAAATTCATTATTTTTTATTTCTTCATTAAACATATCAGAAAAATTAATATTATTTTCTTTTAATAAGTTTTTAAATTGTTCAGAATATTTTGTTAACTTGACATATTTTGGTGTAAAAATACCACAAAATTCATTAGTCATAATTAATGCTTGATTTTTTTTTTTTTTGGAATCATGTAGTTGTATTATGCAATCATTTAAGCTTTTAAACAACTCGTATTCACTACTATGTTTTATATCTTTTTTATTTGAATTTTTACATTTTTCTAAAATTTGTCCATCATTTTCATTAAAGCTCATAAAATAATACATACATTCTTTAAATAAATAAACAACTTTTCTTATTAATGCGTCATTATCTTCACTAAAATTTTTTTCATCGTATTTTTCAATTTCAAATAAATATCTTTCACTATTATCCTGTATATTAATATATAGAAAAATTAAAAAACATTTTAATTATATAAATAATACTAATTAAATATTTACATAAATTAATTAAAACAGGCTATATGAAAATAGGAAATTATATATCTTTTTATTTATTAGTACTATATATATATATAAATGTACACTCATTTTTGTTTAATATATAATTTTAATTAAACTTATTAGTACACTTTTAATGATATTAATTCAACTAATCTTGCTTCTAGTAAAATTTCTTTTATAGATAAGAATAAATATGTGTATTAGATAAATTAGAAAAACAATATACATTAAAAATAAAATAAGAGAAAAATGTAGATATAATTATAATTATACCTCATTATAATCTTTGTTTAATTTATCAATATTTTTTATTTTATATCCTTTTGATAAAAAGGTGGAATTAAAGTAATCAAAATCTTTATTAACTAAAAAAAAAAAAAAAGTTTTATATTTAAAATAAAAAAAATACATATATTAGCAAAATATGCATAGATAATAATAAAAGTTTTATAAAATATAGAACATTTCATTTTAATAATATTACAATTATTAAAATGAGATATATCTGGATATATGAAACAGTGAGGATTTCTCAAACTATATTTTAAATATTTGTTCCACTGACTATTTGAGTCATATTGAATTTTTATTCGTTCTATTAATAAAGTCTGAGTAATATCATCATAATTCACCATATTTTATAATTAGTATAACATATAAGTTAAAAAAAAAAATTTATAAATTTTTTAAAATTAAGAATTAATCAAACATTTTTTCTATTTTGTAATTAAATATTGTTTCTTAATTGTATAAAAAAAAAAAAAAAAAAAAGAATTAAGAAATCTATAATAGTATAATTTTTTTTTTTTTCGTCAAAAAAGAAAATTTTTTAGAAAAAATAAGTTTAAGAAATCAATTGATAAAAAATTAACACATAATTAATTGAAATAATACAAAATAAATAATGATACTTAAAAAAAGCAAATTAGTAAAGGTAAAGAATTCTTTCAATAAATAAAAACAGATACATTAATAAAAAATATATTAATAATAATTGAATAAAATAATCCCTTCAATGCTTCATTTTTATTTAAGCATTTTTATTTGCATTATCAAAGCTTAATTAGAGAACGAAATAAAAAATTTTATAAAGTTTTTATAATAAATTATCTAATATTATTTAATTAGTCATTTTACAATTAATATTGATAGTTTTCCTTTTGATTTTTAGTTCTCTACTAAAAAAATACATTTTTTTATTTTTCACACCCTGTCTCTATATTTTTTTTTTTTTTTAATTTATAAAAATAAAAAAATAGCTGTAAATTATTTTCACTTTTCATTTATAATATTTTTAAATATAAAATAAAAAAGCAAAAATTACTGAAATATTTACTCAAAGAAATACTTGTGTTAATTTCCTTAAGAGATATAATATTACTAGTTTTAATAAAATATACAATATATTTATTTAAGAAGAAAGATTAAAAAAAAAAAAAAACAAAATAAAATAAAATACAAATACAAATAAATTTTTTTTTATATATAAACAAAAAATATTCAGGTAGATAAAAAAAAAAAAATTACTTCAGTTGTTTTAAATAAAAATACTATTCTAAAATATTCAGTTAATTTTTTTTCTTTTTGTAAACGAAAAAAAAAAAAAAAGAGTACTATTTTTAAGAATTGAAATTCAAATCACAAAAATTACTTTTTATTAATACAAAAGAAAAATATATATATACTAAAATGTAGTAAAATAATTTGAAAAACTAAAATATAAAAAAAAAGAACATATTTTTTATAAATCATTGTGTATGTTTTTCTTAATTGTACTTATTTTTTGTTTAAATAGTAAAGTGTAAAAATAATATATAAAAGATAAATTTAAAGTGTTGTTAAATTTTTAATAACTACATAATAAATTTTTATAAAAACTATTGTAAAAATATAGTAATAAAAATGTTTAGTATTCGAATGTAAAACTTTAATTTTTGTATTTGTTGTGTTATCCTGTTTTAAGTTACAATTTCATAAGCTGCTTTAAATATGTACAATTAAAAAATAAAAATTTGAAATATAAATATCATATTTTTTATTTATTGAAAAATTTTAAAATAAAATTGAAATTACACCAAAATTTAAATAATTCCTCTAGACTATAATATTAATTTTTTTTTTTTTTTTTTTTATTATTTTTAATGTAGTTAATTTATAGATTCAAGAAAATTTATTTTTAAGAAGTTGTTTTAAAAACTGTTAATACTTGTAGACTTATTTTTATCTTGCTACATCTTATTATTTTTTCTTACAATTTTTGTAAAAAGTTTTTTTTACTATATTGTAAATTTAAATTTATCAAAACATGTTTTACATTAACCTAACAAAAAAGTATATGGAAAGTAGAAACTTTTTTTTTTTTTTGTTGAGTGCATGTTTTATATTTTACATAAGTTTAATAGTATTAAAATAAAGAATTATTTAAATAATATTTTATGAAAATTTTTTTTTTTAATATATCTTTTTTTTTTCTTGTGTATAATGTCATATTTTCATAATTCATTACCAATTCAAATGTGTATATATAAAAAAATGTTATAGAAACATTTTTTTTTTTCTATTCTTAAAATGAAGTTACTACACGCACACCTTTATAAAAAAAAAAAAAAAAAAAAAAAAAATCTTCTTTGATTTGTAAAGTACGTTAATATATATCTAATTAAATGATAAAACTTTTTTTAAAAAATTTGAAGACAAAATATTAAAACTGTTTTTTTTTTTTTTTTTTTTTTTTTTTGTCATTCTGTTTATATTTATATAAAACTTACGTAGCATAAGAAAAGAAAAACATTTTCATTTTTATTNAAAAAAAAAAAAAAAAAAAAAAAAAAATCTTCTTTGATTTGTAAAGTACGTTAATATATATCTAATTAAATGATAAAACTTTTTTTAAAAAATTTGAAGACAAAATATTAAAACTGTTTTTTTTTTTTTTTTTTTTTTTTTTTGTCATTCTGTTTATATTTATATAAAACTTACGTAGCATAAGAAAAGAAAAACATTTTCATTTTTATTATTTTTAAAATGGAAAAAAAGGAAAATGAAGATAAAACAGAGAATTATTTTGATAAAATAACAAATTTTTTTAATTATTTTACATTAGGTAACTTTATAATTTAATCTACATTTTTATAAAAATTATTTTGTCTTATTTTTATTAAGGATATGCTTATTCTTATTATAATTGTATTTATTTATTAACTTTTAAAAAACATTATTTCATTTTATTTAATTTTTTTACATTGCAATTAAAGATAATTCTCAGAATGAAGAACAAACAGTTGTATCTCCTGAGATAATGAATAATAAAAATGAAATAAATCAGGATAATAGAGATAGTGTAAAACAAGTTGTTTACAATTTAAAATTAAAAAGAGCATCTGTATCAAATATACCACAAAGATTAATTTTAGATACATTAATAAATAGTAAAAAAGGTAATTTATATGTTATTCATATATTTATTTTTTTCTTTTTTTTTTAATATCATATTGATTTATTTAATTTAGATGTGAATAACAAAATAAATATAAATGACAATTTCACAGTTGATACAATTACAAAAGATTGTGAAGAAAATAATTCTAATAAAATTAGAGAAAAAAATTCATCACTCATTATATTAGATAAAGATAAAGAATCAAAAAATAATTTTAGTTATTCTCCAAGTTTTCATTACAATAAAGATGAACTTTTTCATTTAAATAAAAGAAAAAATGATAAAAAAGAAGAGAATAAAAAGAAAAAAAAAGATAAAGTAAAAAAAAACAAAAAAGAATTAAAAGAGAAAGGAATAGAAGAATATATGAATATAGATGAAAGTTATACAAATGAAAAAAAAGAAAAAACAAAAAGAAGAGAAAAAAATAAATGTAAAAAAAATGAAGTAAACAATCAAGAAGAAGAAAGAGAAAAAGAAGAGAAAAAAGAAAAAAAAGAAATTAAAGAAAAAGAAGAGAAAAAAGAAAAAGAAGAGAAAAAAGAAAAAGAAGAGAAAAAAGAAAAAGAAGAGAAAAAAGAAAAAGAAGAGGAAAAAGAAAAAAAAGAAATTAGAGAAAAAGAAGAAAAAAAAGAAAAACAAGTACAAGAAATACAGGAAAAAAAAAATAAAAAAACAGACAAAAAAAAAATAAAAGAAAGCTATGAAGAAAATTACGAAAGCAGGTTAATTAAAAGAAAGGAAAACCAAGATATAAAAAATAAAAATATCTCCATTGAACTTCCAAGTATTAAAAATTCAAATGATTCAAATTATTTATATGATGAGAAAGTTCAATTTTTAGAAAATAAAAACTTCAAAGAAAATATAAAAAACAATAAAGAAATAATAAAAAATAAAATTTCTCTTGATAGTTCTACTCTAAATGAAAAAAATATATTTGATGATAATAAAAAGTATATTAGAATAAGAAATCGTAAAAAAAGAGACAATGTAATAATACTACCAAAACTTAATTTAAATCAGAAATGTGAATCCTTTTCAACTGAAGAAAAAAAAAAAAAAAATCAAGATATTTTAATTAATAATAAAAGTTGTAACATTAATAATGTAATCCAAGACAATGATGATAAAACGACAGTAAGTGGGCAGTCTGATGAAGATAAAAATGAATTAATGAATTTATGAAATACAGAAAAAAAAAGGTTCCTATAAAAAAAAAATTATATAGAATAAATTAATTATTCTAATTTAAATATTTTTTTTTAATGTAAATTCTTTCATTTAAATAATTTTTATAAATAAAAATATGTTATAGCAAGAAAAATTATTTTAATAAAAATTTAAAACCATAAATTATATGAAAATAGGAAAAAAAAAAAAAAAAAAATTATTTGATTTATTTTAATTAAAATAATATATGAATATAATATTTACTAAATTTTATGATTCTTTATGATTTACATTAATTTAAATTTTTTTTTTTTTTTTTTTAAAGACAATTTTCCATTCTTATATTTTTTAATAAAATTTTCCATCTTAAAAATAATTTGCATATTCGTGTTAAATTATATGTTTAATTTTAATTTACTTCATATAATTATATTATAATTAAATATATTTTAAAGAGAAAATACACATTAATGTATTTTTTTTTTTTTTTTTTTTTTAGTAAAATAAATAAACTTTTATTTATATAATTTTAATTTTATTTGTTTTTGTTTTTTTTTTTATTTCTTTATTTTAAAATAACATTTTATTTTCTTTTTTTTTCTTTTTGTATTATTTATTATTATTTTATATAAGCAACTTCTAATATTCTTGAAAAATTTAACACAAAATGTTTTAAACAGTTTTTGTAAAAAAAATAAAAATTAAAGATAAATATAATTGAATGTTTTATACATGATATTTAAAGAAAGCTTTGTCCATTATTTCTTAATTCATTTTATAATTATAAAAACCTTTTAGTTTTTTTGTTAAAATGGATTATAATTATATGTGCGATAAATTAATTAATAAAAAAGAATTAATTTTTCATTTAGTAAAACAAAATGATGAAAAAATATATCACTTTTTAGAAGAAGATAAAAATTTGATTAATTGTCAAGATGAAAATGGTTAATAAAAAATTAAATGAAATAACAACAAATATTATTTTATAAAATGTATGTTACTTTTTTTTTTTTGTCTTTATAGGAAATAGTTTATTACATTGGGCAGTTTTTTTAAATAATATATATTTAGTATGTTACCTATTGGAAAATAGTAAAAAAGCAAAAAAAAAATATATAAATAATTTAAATAGAAATATATATATATATATATATATATATATATATTATCTCTTTTATTTTAAATTAATATAAATATTAAAAAGTTACAAGAAGAAAAAAATAATTAATCATTAATATATACAAAATATATATAAATGGTAGGAAGAAACATAAAATTCATTCATTTATTTTTTTAAAGAAGCTAATGTAAATATTAAGTCAAACATACAACAAACTCCACTTTTTTGGGCGGTTTGCTCAAATAATATTTTTATGATTTATTTATTAAAGAAATATGGATGTAATTTAAATGAAGTAGATAACAAAGGATATAATTGCTTAATAATATGTGTTCAATATAATAGTATTTTATGTTTTTTTTATTTACTACATTTGAATATTTCATTAACTGAAAAAGATTTTAACAATTGTTCTGTTTTTGATTGGTCTGCTTATAATAATAACATGTTTTTTCTTAGACTTTTTTCAATTTTTCTAAACAATTTCTATTCATTGCATCCAACTAATCCATCTTCCGTTTTACATAAAGCTATAATTGGGAATGCATATGAAGCAGTTACATATTTAATTTTAAATAATCATCAAAATATATATGATATAGCAACTGATAATAAAGTAAAAAAAAATATATATATAATATATATATATATATATATATATATTATGTAATGAAATAAAATTTCATGTAATTTATAAAAAAATACCTTAAATATAAAAATATGTAATTATAGAAATTATTATAATGTCATACATATAAAAATCTTAATACAATCCCTAATTTTTAAATTCATTTAAGGAAACAATACTTGAGTTCATTGAAGAAAATAAAAGTAATATAAATTCAAAAATATATGAGTTTCTGAAATGTAAAAAAACTCAAAAAATGTGTGAAAAAAGAAAAAGAATAACATATAATTTATACGAACCTAATGGTGATATAGGACCTTATACAATTAAAAAAAAGAAAAATGTAATTCTTCTTTTTTTCCATTCTCTAATTTGAAATAATTTTTCATTTTATATGTTTAATTTAAATATATTCATTTATTGTATTTATTTATTTTTTTTTTTTTTTTTTAATCAGTTATCTTTTTTATTAAACATTTATTCTAAATATCAAGAAAATAAGGCTCTTTTAATTTATCCATTCCTCCTTGTTTTAACTTACTTATACTTGAATCTAGTTTATTTTTGTTATGTAATTAAAAATGATGAAAAAAAAAAAGAAAAATAACTACATTTATTTATACAAATAAAAAAAAAAAAAAATGAGTAATATACTAATAAAATACCCTCTATGTGTATAAAAATGAAAAGTATTTTAGATTATTCATAATTTTTTTTTAATAAAAAAAAATTGCAGATTAGAGTAAAATTAGGATACAAGAACATAATGCAAGATATATTTCATCCTTTTCTATTTATTTTTTATTATTTTGCCATCTCAAGTAATCCTGGTTATTTAGAAAATTCAAAGGAGATATATAAGAGCAAAAAAGAAGAAATGAAGGATGCAGAAGATAACGATAAAGATAGTTATGATAATGAAAAGGAAATTAATGAAAATAATAGTTTATCAAAACAAAATTTCGTTTTTGAATATATTATTAAAAATATTAAGAAGGAAATAAAGAGGTATGAAAAAGAAAATAAATTGTGTGAATTTTCAAAAAAAATTAAAAATGAAAACATTTTTGAATTGAAAGAAAGACTTAACATTGTATGGGATGTTAAGCCATTTGAAATATCAGCATTTGATATTAACATGTTATGTCCAACATGTTTTTTATTTAAAAATTTAAGAACCAAACATTGCCGTTTTTGTGATAAATGTATAGAGATATTTGATCATCACTGTGTATTTACTTTAAATTGTATGGCTATTGAAAACGCAAGAATATTTCTTATGTGGATTTTATCTAATATTCTTTTTTCATTATATATTTTATATATATATATATGGCTAACTTTAAAATTTTCCTTCAATTTTTATATGCTTTCCTTTTATATAATTCTTACTGCTATTATATTATCTATACTACTAATATATTTTATGGGATGTGTTTTTTTACGATCATTTTTTAATATATTAGAAAATATAACATCAAATGAAAAATTTAAAATGTATTCTTCTAAAAAATTTTTTTCATATGAATTAAAAATGGGTGAAGATAATCAGCCTTTTATTGTGAGAAAATTTCAAAATCCTTTTGATCAAGGAAAATTTTTCAACTTCTTACACTTTTTAACAAAATCAAAGGATGGTTTACTGAAAAAAAAAGAGAATTTTATTAAAATAGACAAAAATGTTAAAAGCGAATTAGTTCACACCTTTGTTGAAAATTTAAACAAAAAATTGAAGGAACATTATGGAAAAAAGTAATACCAAAAGGATAAATGAAGAAAAAAAAAAAAAAAAAAAATAGCAAAATTTATATCAAATTATAAAAATACAAAATTTACTAAAAAAAAAATGTTTAAACAAGTGGAAACATAAAAAAAAAAAAAAAAAAAAAAAATAAAAATTAATAATATTCTTTTCTCTTTGTTTTTCCTTTTTTTCTCTAAATGCTTAAAAATTTTTTTATGTTAAATTTTATAATAGTAAGAATATGATTGTTACTAAAATTTTTTTTTTTAGTATACTAAAAAAATTTTTATTATTTTTTAAATTTACATTATTGTGAATATGCATCAAAACATTTTCTATATTTTCTTTTTCAATTTTTAAAACATAATAATAATTATCATCAATATTCTCTAAAAGGTGATCTTTGTAGCAATTTTCAAATAAATACATTAGTTTTTTTTATTCGTAAAAATAAAAGGGAAATTATGTAATTTTAATTTGTTTTTTTTTTTTTTTTTGGTATATCACCAACATATTCAGTTAACAAGTTTTTATATCCAATAAATTCTTTATTTACATTTAAATTATTATCATAAGATAATTCTCTATAAAAAGTTGAATTGTTATATTAATTATTATAATAATTAAATAATACAATATAGAATTATTTTTTGATAAATTATTTAATAAATAATTATCACTTTTTTTTCACTATAATTATTTTATCTTTTAACATGAACTTGCATATCTGGAAGCTATTTACTTATTAATATTTTTGATAATAAATTTTTATGTTTCTTCTTTTGCTATTGAATTTAAACGAAACAAAGATACATGATGTTGTTGTATTAATTTCAAACTATTTGTTTTTCTATTATCAATTGATAAAAAATTATCTATGTATATTTTTTTTTTTTTTTTTTTTTCTCATTTTCATGAATTATTTTTAATGGTAACAAGAAAGATATATTATTAAAAATCCAATTCCTTATTTTAAAATTATCAATATCAAAATTATATTTACTTAATAATTCATTCTTTATTGTTATAAAAATATAATATTTTGTAATTTTTTTCATCAGTGTAATAATTTAAATATTTTCTTAAAAAAAAGATATATGTAAATGTCTAATTACTCAATACTGTAAGTTATATTATTATTTTCATTATTTAATTTTTCTTAATCATCACCATTGTTCTCTAAAAAGGATAAAAGAATTTTCTTTCTTTTATTTTTTATAAAAACACTAATTTCTTGTAAAATATCAGAAATATTATAAACATATCTTCCTTCAAATCAACAATTTATTTCCTTTTTCTGATCATTTATCTCAATCTTATGAATCCGTTCATTTACATTTTTTTAATATGATTAGTTCAATATAGCACACACCTAAACACAATCTTTTATATATGATACCATTACTATTACTTTTTTTTTTTTTTTTTTTTTTTTGATTGTTCATAATGAAATTCTTTATTCCCTATATTTTTTTTTTTTTAGCTTCAATATTATGTAAACCATAAATAAATAAAATTTTCCTATTCTTACTTGTCTTCTCAAGTATATCAATCCATTTGTAAAAATATATTTTTAATTCATAAATGTTATTATTATATATGTTTTCCATAACTTTTCAATTGTTTTAATATTTCTTTTTTTTTCAACATCTTTTATTCTTTCTTTCTGTTTATATATGTTTTCAATTTTTTTATTATTTATTAATTTTTTTTTTTTTTTTTTTTATATGCCAAAATTCTTTTATATTCCTATTATTATTATGAACATATAGAACAAAACACATGTATTTATATATATATATATATATTTTATAAAAAAAAAAAAAAAAAAAAAAAAAAAAAAATTAAATTAATCCTGTTAAACAGATTTATGAAGTAAATTAATTTTTATCAAATAATTATGAAATGCATGTATTTATGGATGGATGTTTTTTTAATTATATAAAATTAATTTACCAATAGCAAATTTTTTACAACACACTTCAGTAGTAAATACTAAATGAATTTAAAAAAAAAGATTAAATTGCTAAAAAGAAAAAAAAAAAAAAAAAAAAAATTTTTTTTGAAGTTTTTAATTGAACAATTTTAAAAATATTAAAGAATAAAAAAAAAAAAAAGAAAAGAGAAGAATTTATATTTAGTTTTTTTTTTCATAGATTATTTTTAATTATCATTATCAGAGATATCATTTTGATGATTACTCATTATATTGAGATCCTTAGAACTTATGATATTTTCATTTTCATTTTCATTATTAATGATACTATTATTTGAAAATTTTGTTTTAACTTTTTCATTAATATTATTATTTCCGCTATCATCTTCACTCAATTCATTTTTGCTTATTATTAAATTGCTCTTCATATTAAAATTTTCATCATATATTTTTATTGCGTTGATTTCTTCATTATAATTGGTTAATATATCTGGTAAAATTAAAAAATCATCAATTTCCTTATGATAAAAACTGTAAGAATGATCATGTTTATGATAAATATCGATAAACTTCTTATTTAGATAAATATTTTTGTTTGTACTTATTTTTTCATCATCATTTTCATCTAATATGAGATTATCATCACATTTATTATTATTAGTATTATTATTTTTATTGTTACAAGTATTATTGTTAATATTATCAATAATTAAAAAATTAGGCAAAGAGTAAATATTTTCTTCTTCTTTATGAAGTAGTAATTTTCCTTTTTTGTCTTCATTAAAAAAAAGTGACCATACTTTCTCCATATTTTTCAAAAAAGAACTTTCATAAATTTCTTTTTTATAATCAATCATAATATTTTTATTATTCATACTGTTACTCCATTTTTTACAACAATTTTTCATCTTTATTTTTCTAACTTTATCATCATAAAATTCATCTTCACTTTTTTTCTCTATGTGCTTTATATAAAACTTACTTAAGTATTCCATTTTAATCTCAAAAAAAAATTAGCAAATCTCATCACCAAATTTTTATATCAGAAATTATTGGTAAAAATAAAAAAAAATAATAGTAAATAATTTATTTTTTCAATAATAATATAAAACTACAAAATAAAAACAGAATAATGTGTAATACAAAAAAAAAAAAAAAAAAAAAAAAAAAAAAAAAAAAAAAAAAAAAAAAAAAAAAAAAAA